CTAGAGAAACTTAGCTTCGCAACAACAAAGATAACACATTCATTTATTATTGCCAATTAAATCATGCTTAATTCTTTCTGGAATTTTTTCGAGGAAATAAGTGTTTGAGATTTACTTCATAATTTTTAATATAGATATTTTGAGTTTTTATGTATTTTTGCCTTCTCGTGAAGTGAGAACTGAATTAATTAAATGAGAAATACTCAATCGTCTGTGAAAAAACTGTTTCTTTTTTGTTTCGTTTGCTTAATTTCTTTTATACATCATTCTAGCTTTATTATAGTATTTGAATAGAACATGTGGCAACAATTAGATAATTCTATTCTTTAAATGATATAAATTTTGTGCATTATGAGTTATAATATGAACGAAATATATACGTTAACTGTTATATAATTATTAAATTATATAACAGTTAACTTAGATTCCGTTATATAATTATTATATAAGTTAACTGTTATATAATTATTAATACTGTTAAGTGAATCTAGTGCCAAAGTGTCGCTATGGTAAACAAATACTAAAGTGAATTTTAAAGAATGCATTTATTCTACACTGACTACCAATAAGTATTTGGACACCTGTGGTAGAAAAGGAAAACTAACTTTATTCAAAATCAATAGTTGGTAGAGCCTCCACGAGAGGTAATTACAGCGTGGACCCTCCGGGGCATACTTTCCACAAGTCTTTGTATGACAGCTAGTGGTATTTTCTTCCACTCGGCTTGGAGAAGACATAGAAGTTCCTTCACCGATTTTGCACGGGTAGTGCACCCCTGAATTCGGCGATGCAACTCGTCCCAGAGGTTCTCGATAGGGTTCAGGTTTGGACTCTGGACAGGCCAGTCTATTCGATGGACTCCATTGGCACCATACCAAGCCTTGGTTAACGTCCAAACATGAAAACTGGCATTGTCGTCCTGAAAGTAACAGGGGTCCAACCCGTAAAACTGCCACAATGTAGGAAGCACATGATCATCCAAAATAGTGCAGTAGGCATCGGAGTTGAGCTTACCATGAATGGGGACCAAGGGTCCCAGCCCATACCAGGAGAAACAACCCCAGACCATAATTCCATCTCCGCCAAACTTGACTGTTGGCACAATGCATTCTGGAAGAAGATGTTCTCCAGGTAGACGCCAGACCCAAACCCTGCCATCCGAACGGTAAAGGGTGAACCTTGATTCGTCACTCCAAAGAACCCGTTTCCACTGATCTACGGTCCAATTTCGATGTGCTTTACACCACATTAACCGAGCAGCGCAGTTGGACTTTGTGGTCAAAGGCTTATGGGCAGCAGCACGACCATGAAAACCAAGCAGATGTGCTTCCTTATGGATGGTATTCATTGAAATACTCCCGGATGCCTGTTGAAACTCCTCGCGGATGAGGACCATCGGTTGGGTGCGGTACTTCCGAATTTCTCTGGACAGCACTCGTCGGTCTCTATCTCCCAGTTTCGTTGGTCTGCCGACTCAGGGCACATTCCGACAATCACTGCTCAGCTTCCACTTCTTAATCACATAGGCCACTGTCGATTTCGGGTACTTCAGATCGCTAGATATGTCCTTTAAGGATTGGCCAAATTTGTGATACCCGATAATTATACCTTTCTCGAAATCAGACAGCTCTGAACTGCGAGGCATCTTGCATTCGACTAAAGCCGATGCTGTTTCCTACATGATATATACCGGCGGAGTCCGTGACGTACCTTAGGATCGCAGATATCGTCATTTGCATAGGTGTCCAAATACTTATTGGTAGTCAGTGTATTGCGGTTTATGTGCTGTCGGCAAAGTAGATTTAATTCAATCCAATAAGTTCAAATGAAATGCAAGAAAAAATGCGTATAATTTAATATTGCAATACAAGGAAGTCATGTGGTGTACACATCAGATTTTTTATTCCTGAATTTTATTGCTGTTTTTCCCATCTATAATTCTTTTCCTGAAAGAATTTCATGGCAGACACTTCATTATCTTAAAACTGATATCTAAATCATACAATTCATTACATTTTTTTCCCATTAAAATTTCATTCACAAAAAACATGTCTGAATCAGAGCATGTTGAGTGACAAAATCTAGCATAATTCATGGCACAAGTTTGCCATCTTTAGCACATTTGTACACATTTTGGTTATTACATTATTAACATGAAGGTACCAAGATCTAAACTACTGTAATTTTGCTCGACTGAAGCAGCAATAGATCTTATTTTTTGACAATTTTAAAAGTGCTTATCAGCAGAACATGGCAGCTTATTCAATACTGAATAATAATATCCAAGTGTTCCCAAAGATTACCAAAGCAATCTGCATTTCACTACTGACATCTTAGAAGCCACATGAATTTTCAATGTTCTACACTATTTTCAGTTCTAGTATTATTTATTTAATTAATTATTTTACCATCATGGGAAACCTATTCATAATTACGGAATTCCATTAACTCTAGTAGTTTGGAATGCAGCAAATGAATGATGTACATATCTCAATCTCAGAAAGAAAAAAATATAATTCTTCTGAAATAATTTTTAAATATTATTTGGTCTGTGTTTAATTACATAAAATAATCATATAATTCAAATAACATTTAGATTTTGTTTTACTTTTTTTAATCATTACTTCTCCAACAAACATTTTCAAATAATCTGGTATTTTGTACAAAAATGCCCAATTTAACATGCTAAATGAAAGCTTATTCAGATGCATATTTTTAAACAAACAAAGGAATGGTAGTATTCCATTAAAACCTTTTCGCCAATTCTTAGTGACCAATTTTTTGCCAATCTATATATTAAAAAAAAAAAAAAAAAAAAAAAAAAAACAGTAGCCATTTTAAAAAATGGCAGCTTACAGAAAATTACATAAAGGAGCAATAAATTAATCAAATTACAAATGCAAGAAGTACCCATAATGAAATGATGAAAATGACATAAAATAAATATCCATAATGAAACATTTATAAAAGGGCAACAAATTAATTACATTTGAAAATGCAATAAATACCCATAATAAAATACTTTCTTTTTTCCCAGTCTTCTGCCATATGCGCAATGATCTATTTTAAATTTAAAAAAATATGTAAAAAAAAATCAGACAATTTCAGAATTCTCAGTGTTGTAGGACAATTTGGCACTGACTTCATTGAACATATTGATCTGTTTTAACTTCGACAAAATCAATAAACTGCACAAATTAACTTTTATGAATGTGCATTCCTACACTCACTATTACTAAGCAAAAAAATAACTTTCTTTTTGATGCACAATGATTTATTTCAAGGGGGGACTCCACATACTAATCACAACAAGCAGAATCCACAAACATGACCCTCAAATTTCAAAAATATGCTTATTACAGCATTGATTGTCAGAAAAATACATTTACATAAGATTCTATGCTGCCTACTTGGTGACAGTGCTTTGCTCAGTGATTCGGTTGATCTTTGCATTATGGTAACTTGGCGATTTTTTGGCGAAAATTTGGCAACCAACTCTGCTACAGCAACCCTCTATTTTTTTTTTCGCCACCATTTTGTCTTCACGAAGTAAAGACATGTTTCTTTTCTTTTTATTTACTGAACACTTTTTCCAACAATCTACTAGCTGAATTACACTTATGCTAGAAATTTTAGGTAACAAAACTGCTTAATCGTGACAAATATTAACTGCAAAATTGGGAAAAAGTGCACAATCGCAAACTCCTTGCGTGTTTTTCAGAATAGCACATACACATAAACCATTTACACGTCAACTTATTTTTACTTAAAAAAACATCCCAGAATTGCACAAAAATGGCATTGCACACACTCTTAACTTTATCCATCTACACTGCTATTTTCTCATAAATTACAAAAATTTGCACGAAAATACAAAAAAATTCTGTGAATCTTTAAATACGGTAAAAAGAACATATATGAAATTACCTGATCGCGAAAAAGTATATACCCTTTCCAAGATGAACATTTCCACGTATAAAATAAATAAAATATCCAAAAACTTTCACCTCTAAATTATCTATTATATTATAAACATCACCAACGAATTCATACCGCAAACATTACAAATACTTAGTGTCAAATATTTAAATTATTTCCATGCACGTTTACTTCCACTGAAACGTATACCAAATTCCTACAAACATATAATTCACAAAATAACTATCATTTAATTAAAATATAATTAAATTCAAAAACACTACTTAAAATATAAAAATCATTGCTAATAACATTTTTCCAATAATACCATATTATTTTATTTACTCCTTACATTTAGAACAATGCATACAAATAATATCCTCAAATAATTAAAAATACTAACTTACCTAATCTTCTTCAGAATCTTGATTACGTGGCCGATAAACTTTTCTTATTTCCTCCGCTAAATAAAAAGCAAGCATATGTGCGCCTGTTTCAGGATCTTTAAAATCATACTTATAGTTCACAGCAAGGTACCAGGTAAAATAAATAACTTAATAAAACATCTTTACTTCTATCTCGAACAACCTTAAAAAAACACTTATTACTACCCCTTTCAATCCCACTAAATACCCATTTTGAATTCACTTTAGTTAGAGCAATGCGATTCAAAAATTAACCAAAACTGTTTCACACAACACAGAATAAAGCTAAATACAAATTTCCAGACTTTTTTCCGATTTCCCCCCTTTTCTGAGTAAAGAACTGTAATTCGTCCATTAATGTCACATGACATATCTCATGATCTCTCATTTCCCTCCCACAAAATAATGCGTAATCGGAACTGAGTACTTCTCACATTATAACCAAAGTCCTAGGTAGTAACCTTTATCGCCTCCAAAATGTCGCCAAACTACCAGTTATCATATTCCAAAGATCAGCCAGTGATTCTTATAGTTAGAGTTAGGTGTATAATTAGAGAATACTGAATGGAAAGCATTGGAAAAATACCATCATAAAATTTTCAATCTCACTATTCCAGTTATACTTAAATTACTTAAAAAAATTTAAATGTCACTTACTGTCATCGAAGATAATCCCTACTTGATAAGGAAATGCAAATAAGATATCAGTAACCTTTACAAATAAATCCTGCCTTTCTTTAACATTTAATGCTGCAAAGTTTCTCTTGATTTCTGTTATTGCCTAGTAATAAGAGAATTTCATAACTTAAATATAAAAAACTAAAATATAAAAAATTATAATAATATAGGGACATAAAAAACATCATACAGCAGACCTCGGCAACCTATGGCCTGCAGGTCACTAAGTGACCCATTTCATAATTTTAAGTGACCCACTCGAATTATGAAAATAAAGTATAATACAATCAAAAGTCGTTAATTCGGACACCAATTTTCCGGACCTCAAAGCTACAAACTTTCTGCGCTAAGATCTTTACGGCTGCGAATTTGCATGTGTGCATGCACATAATACGTTTACGCATGCGCGTTTAATGTATAACAGACAGTATAAGCTAAGGTAAAATTATCCAATTTAGTTAATGTTGCAGATTGCGTTGTTCCTTAATCTTCGAATTGGATTCGGCTTATTGTTTTTTGCAGACTGTTAGAGCAATTTTATCAATGTAAGCTTGAACTTTCGATTATGTCAAATAGAATTTCCGATATATATTTACTAATATGTAAAGGATCTACAAAGCGAAAGTATGTTTTGAAGTCCATTAAACAAAAAGTGGAATTGCTGCAAAAAAATGGATAAAGGTATATCCTTTGTTTCTCTAACCATTCCAAAATCTGTTTATAATTTCACGCTGCTCTGCAGGGGAGGGAAACATCGCAGCGTGCAATGAACTGGAAGTTGATCTGTCAGCACTATCCTTATCTTCAGGGCAGGTGTTTTTTTACTTTATTCGGCTTATAATTCATTACTAAATGTAGTATTTCCTCTCGATGTACTCTGATATGATTTAAATCAAATTCATCATAAATATCACGAATACACATCAAATAGTTTTCTGGTTTCAATTTTCTAATTTCGACTATGCGTAATGTATGCTTTACGCATGCGAATGTTGAAAGAAATGTTTAATAAAGTAAAAAAATAAATATTAAGCTTTTTTTTTTTTTTGTAAATTTTGATACCCTTAAGGTCATAATTGTTCTTTATTTCATAAATTACGTTTTCATATTTTTAATTTTATAATTTCTGCATGCCATCTTACCAGATTTAAACTGATGATCTATAATCCGGAAAAATCGATAATCCGGAATCGCCGAAGTCCCATCGAGTCCGGATTAAAGACTTTTGACTATACACATAAAAAATGTTAACAAATGGTTGTTCTATGAAATTTTTATTTTTAAGGCATAAACATTTTAATATTACTTAAAATTATGTAAAAAGACAATAAATTTGTAAAAAGGCATTAAGTTAAGAATTTACCATGCTTTCACGGTACAACATTCTGATTCGCCATTTCATACCATGTGACCCCAAGTAATCTCATCTCGTGTAAACTATGCTACAAAAATCTAATTCTCTCAGTAATTATCTACATTAATTTCAAGTTAAATCTTAATTTGGAATAAAAGTTTAAGTGCAAGAATTATTTCAATTCATACAAATAGCTTACTCAGAAATAATGTAAAACCACAGTGCTTTACTTCGCTAGTGCATTCTCATTTGAAATGATGAATTTAACTCTTGACTTTGCTTCTTCTGTGTTTTCGCCTTCGGGTAAGAGGTGTGATTGCATCCTAATTGACTTAATTACCACAAATGGTCTTAGAGCACTAAACTTAACTGTCTGGTAAAAATTCTATGTAATTGTATGCCAGTACTGAAAGAAATAATCAATCTGATAAGAAATGGCTGCGACTTGTTTTGAAAATGAGGCATAAAAGGTTACCAAGGAGGATATTCCATTTGGAATTGGTTGTACCATTTGTGGCGACTTTATCGCTTGCACCGGAAAAATGGAAAAGTACCCTAATTTGTATCAAAATAATAACATATTTTGTAGAAAATATTTAATAAGTATCAAAATAATAGCATTTCAGCTGTCACCTTGGTCACTCACCAAAACTGGAAGATTAGTCGCCAAGCTTGGTAAATAGAATCCCCACATTTTTAACACGCAATGATTTTCAGACTATTTTGGTTGGCACATGATATCATCCATTCAGTAATTCTTTTTTCCCTAAAATGTATTGCATTTTAACTTACAATCATTAGAAAAGAAGCAGTAATTTTTTTATAATGTGTCCCACTTTTGATTTTCACACTTACATTTAACCATGTGATATGGGCCTATTTTCAACTATTCCCTTTTTAACTGTTAATAACTTTTAACTTTCTGTCAACTCAAAATTCAGGTTTTTGTTGATATCGATAGGATTTTGTTGATATTTTTAATTACTAATTTTCCCTCTAAAATGTTGACCATATTTAACTTACGATCAGCTGAGAAAGAAGCTTTGGTTTTCTTATAAGAGCACGGAATTTTGTATACTTGGCAAATGTGTAAAAATGGCCATTAAATAAAATTATTTACAGGAAAACTGCAGCCAAATGCCAAAACAAAAGGCAAAGAAGAATGTCTCCTCAACACTTGGATTCATATTTAAGAGAATTTACATGGCTACAGTATCTACAATAAGATAAAAATATATGATTCTTTTATAGCAGCAATTGCTAAATTATGACCTCCACAAATGTAAATACAGTCAAAAGTCGTTAATCCGGACTCATCGGGACTTCGGCGATTCCAGATTATCGATTTTTCCGGATTATAGATCAGCAGTTTAAATCTGGTAAAATGGCATGCAGAAATTATAAAATTAAAAATATGAAACCGTAATTTACGAAATAAAGAACAATTATGATCTAAAGGGTATCAAAATTTACAAAAAAAAGCTTAATATTTATTTGTTTATTTTATTAAACATTTCTTTCAATGTAAGTTGTTTAAGTTGCTTCGTTTTTATGTGATAATACATTCTCTTTAATTCTATAAACAGACATAATTTCTTGTTCAGTTACAAAGTTCCGCTGTTCAAGTCCTATAACTGCTGTGTCGAGAATACCGACTAATTTGTCAATCGAAATTTTTTCTTTTCAATAACCTCTGTCACTTTCTTCGCTATCGGAAGCGAATTATAATGACGAGGCATTTGATTTAAATCATATCAAAGACGGAGTACATCGAGATGAAATACTACATTGAGTAACAATTATAAGCCAAATAAAATAAAAACATCTGCCCTTAAGATAAGGATAGTGCTGACAGATCAACTTCCAATTCATTGCATGCGGCTGCGGTGTTAAAGATAAACAAAGTTTAGATAAACAAACGTTAAAGTTTAGATAAACAAAGGATATGCCTTTATCCATTTTTTGCAGCAATTCCACTTTTTGTTTAATGGACTCCGAAAGATACTTTCACTTTGTATATCCTTTACATATTAGTAAATATATATCGGAAATTCTATTTGACATAATTGAAAGTTCAAGCTTACTTTTATAAAATTGCTCTAACAGTCTGCAAAAAATAATAATCCAGATCCAATTCGAAGATTAAGGAACAACGCAATCTACAACATTAACTGAAATAGATAATTAGATAATTTTAGCTTAGCTTATCCCGTCCGTTACACATTAAACAAGCATTCGTAAACGTATTTTGCGCACGCGCACACGCAAATTCACAGCGGTAAAGGTCTTACGCGCATGCGTGAACGCGACGCATGTGCAGAAAGTTTGTAGCTTTGAGGTCCGGATTATAGATCATTCCGGATTATGGGTGTCCGAATTAACGACTTTTGACTGTAGATGTTTTTCTCCGAAGGTAAACAAATATTATTTCATGTAAAATATTAATACATGTTACTAAAAATGTCATTAACTAAATGTTATTTATTATTTATTTTGTTCCTAATATTGTGTTTTTCTATTTTTTGAAGGTTGCCATGCTGTTTTTTAACATTTGCCAAATCAATTTTAAATGTGGCCAAAAGCAAAGAAGGTGGCTGCTTTAATGAAGTCCTAAAATAACAAATGAATAAATTAAAGCTATAGGGTTTTAATTACAAAACTTACTTCATCAGTAAGAAGCCCTGCTAAGGACTGGAAATCTCCTTGAGACAAGAATGATGAAACAACAGTTAGTGCCTGAAATATATATATATCATTAAAAATATAAATTTAAAATTAGCATATAGCATTTGATTGGATTATTTCCAAATACAAATATACTGCAGACTTAAAATTTTAAGTGATGCTAGATGACACTAAAAAATAAAAGTAATATTTAATTAATTCAATTGTCAGAACCTTCAAACTTTAGTAAACAGGTTTTTATGCATTTCAGAAAATGACTTCATCCTGACATTCTCCCATCAATAATCTATGAAGTAAAACTTAAATTTGTTCAACTAATACATAACTGCTATTGCCTTAAAAAATATTCATGGAAACACCTGTTTTTTAATACTTAAAGTGAGTTAACGATTTACATTAATAAATGCTGAAAAACATTTCTCTTAAAGACAAAACATCAATTTTTCAGCAAGTTTAGATAACTACTTTTCTAAGAATAACATTTATATATTTTGGAATTATTCAATTATTTTATAATCTAATTCCAAATAAAACATAAAATACTGGGTGCTACTTTGGTAGACAGTTGCACGGATTTTTGGTGATTTACTTTGGCGCAAATGTTGGCGCGGTTTTTACAATTGTCAGGCATTTTGAAAAATGCTGTTTTAAGGTATTTTGCACATAGTAAAGTATTCAAAACTTTAAAAAACGAAATATCATTAAAAATAATGGATTAATATTTTGTTGAAAACGCTGTTTTTTAAGATTGCAGGCAAATGTAAATAAATACATATACGAGTATAAAATACTAAAATAAGGTTAAATTATTAATTTCATATAGCAATGAAATAGAATAAAAACACCGCTATAAAAACATTGGGTTAATCTTTGGATTATGGTAATTTGGAGATTTTTTTGGCGAAAATTTGGCGACCAACTCTGGTACAGCAACCTTCTACTTTTTTTTTTCGGCGCCATTTTGTCTTCGCGAAGTAAAGACGTTTCTTTTCTTTTTATTTACTCAACACTTTTCCCAACAATCTGCTAGCCGAATTACACTTATATTAGAAATTTTATGGAAAAAAACTGCTTAATCATGACAAATATTAACTGCAAAATTGGGAAAAAGTGCAGAATCGCAAACTCCTTGCCGCGTTTTTCAGAATCGCACATACACAGTAGCCATGTACATGTCGACTTATTTTTACTTAAAAAAACATCCCAGAATTGGATAAAAATGGCATTGCGTACACTCTTGACTTTCTCTATGTACACTGCTTTTTTCTCATAAATTAGAAAAATTTGCACGAAAATGCAGGAAAATTTTGTGAATCTTTAAATTTGGTAAAAAGGACATATATGAAATTACCTGATCGTGAAAAAGTATATACCCTTTCCAAGAATGAACATTTGCATGTATAAAATAAATAAAATGTCCAAAAACTTTTCCCTCTAAATTATCTATTATAAACGTCACCTGCAAATTTATAACGCAAACATTAAAAATGGTTCCAAATACTTAGTGTCAAATATTTAAATTCTTTCCATCCACATTTACTTCTACTCAAACATATTCCAAAATGCTACAAACATATAACTCACAAAATCACGATCATTAAATTAAAATATAATTAAATTAAAAAACACTACTTAATAAGCACATACATTAAATTAATAAAAATTAGCTTACAATCCTAATTACTTTAAACTAATTCATTGCTAATAACAATTTTCCAATAATACCATATTAATTTATTTATTCCTTACATGCATAAAAATACTAACTTACCTAATCTTCTTCAGAATCTTGATTGCATGGCGGATAAACTTTTCTTATAGATTCAATATTCCAGTAGTCATCTGGCAGTCTATTCACCCAGTAATAAGAAATTAATAAAATTTTACCCACACTCAAACGACTTTCAGCAAACCACGTACCCTTCCTTACACTCCGTTTTACAAAATGTCCATTTTCACTAGATTTCTTGCACCACCATTCAAACTTATCTGTAATATCCTTCCTTTCACAGAATCTCATTTCATTCCCACATGTTGGACATTCATACTTATCCGCAATTAATCCAAAAAAACAAAAAAAAAAAAAAAAAAAAAAAAAAACTACACTCATACACCATTCAAGCAATTCTTTTGGATTATCAGATAAACGCAATAAAAATTTAGAATTCACTTTAGATAGCGCCATGGGATCCAAAAATTAATCAACACTCTTTCACAGAACACACAATGAAGCTAAATACAAAATGCTATAAACTACTGCAGATATTTTTCCTAATTTCCCCCCTTTTTCCGATTAAAGAACTGTAATTCGTCCATAAATGTCACATGACATATCTCATGATCTCTCATTTCCCTCACACAAAATAATGCGTACTTGGAACTGAGTACTTCTCACATTATTCCCAAAGTCCTAGGTAGTAACCTTTATCGCCTACCAAAATGTCGCCAACTACCTGTTCCATATTCCAAAGATTAGCTAAACATTGCACCAACGTTTAATTGGATTAAAATATTACTTAAACTGAATATCGAATTAATCTTTGAAAGGGACATATCCGCAGTGGCGTACCTAGGATGGGGCAAGGGGGGACATCTGTCCTCGGGCGCAGCATCCAGGCGGCGCCAAATTGATGCTACAAAATGTTTTAATGAAATATTTTCCATTCTTGGCACATAGAAAGGGGCACAAATTCTTCTGTTGTTCCCAGGCGCTAGAATCCTAGCTACGCCACTGCATATCCGTTCCCTATGAAATCTATTGAATTCGATGTGATGAATAATAAAATTCTAAAATGGCGCAGTAATGCACAAATATTCAGTAACCAATCAAGGAGCTGATTACGTCACGCATAGAATTAAAATTATTTAAATAATCATAAATGATAAAATCATTTTTCAAAAAAAAAAAAGGCAAAATTAAATTGTATTTATAGATATTAAAACCAATTACTTTCAAAGCAAGGTGATGTCATTGATTACATCATCAACATAATATATGGTGCTACTTTGGTAGACGGTTGCACGGATTTTGGCAATTTTTTTTTTTTTTTTTTTTTTTTGGCGAGCGATATGATTTATAGTAAACCCATTGCTGGACAAGTTATTTATGGTAACCGATACTTTGTTGTCATTTTATTTAAAAAATATTATCGTCTACCAAAGTAGCACCTAAAATATCATAAACAAAAAAATTTTTACTCCAAATAAAAACACAAAATTAAATTGATTGTTAATATTTAGAAGCCATAAATAATATTTAAAACATGGAATTTATGCATAATATAATTAATGCATTTATAGCTTCTAAATATTAACAATCAATTTAATTTTGCGTTTTTATATGGAGTAAAATTTTTTTTGTTTATGATATTGTGATACTTCTTTGGCAATATGAAGCAACTCCAATGATGGAACACAGAAAAAAACTTTATTTAGCGCTCAAAATGGCGACATACAAACAAGAAGAGAAAACATATTCTAACATTTAAAAATAAATTACATTCTTCGTGCAAGAGTCGCACGTGGCACTCAAGTCTGGTTTCAAATATTGCCATTCACAAATACCTTAATGCTCATCTATTTAAATTATTTAAACTACAAGATTTTAATACTATTTAAAGCTGTTACAACCTCTCCCCCAACGGAGAGACTTTTTCCGAAGGGAAAAGTTCTGTAAAATTCGACAGTTTAATAAGCTCGGCTTGCTCATTTGCTTAAAGAGAAAAGGTAACTTCTCTGATAAGTTTCCAAACTTCAGGCCAAAATTTTTAAGTTTTAAACAAATATTTTTACACCACATTTAAAGAGGAAGAAAATGGACAGTGTTCAAATTAGTCTTCCTTTTTTTTTTTTTTTTCCTTGATGGCGACAGATCTCTTCCATGTTGGACCAGTTCCTCGGCTATAATTCACAGCAAAGCCTTTCCTCAGTTCCTCTGTGCCTTTCCAATAATATTCAATTGCCATTTGCTTTCGGCAATTGTTTTATTTGTCTATTAGTAGCGGCTTTGATATTAAATCGAAAGACGAAAGTTGATGATAACGCTGCGTTGCAAAATGATTCTCAATATTAATTTCTTTACCGTTTTTCAAATTTTCGTGAAAATCTTCCACGTTTAATTCCGGTGATTTAACGTCTTCTTCAAAGATATCTCTGGATGCTTTATTTTCTTCCTTCATCGGTTTCAAGATCTACTCTTCAGCTATTTTTCTTTTCCTTTCAGCTCTAGTAAAAACGGCATTAAAATAGTATCGCTAAGTTTACGTTCAAGTGATGAACTAAAAAAATAAGGCAATTCAATATTAACAGAAGTTATGTTCAGTGATGAACTAATAAAATAAAGCAATTCAATATCAACAGGAAGTTACGTTCAGTGATGAACTAATAAAATAAAGCAATTCAATATCAACAGGAAGTTTTCAGTGATGAACTAATAAAATAAGGCAATTTAATATCAACAGGAAGTAATAATCTGGTATCACTAATATTACGTTCAGTGATGAACTTATAAAATAAAAATACGCACGATTATTCGATCTCGGTCAGTGCCTCCAAAATAATTATGACTGTGATACTTCTTTGGCAATATGAAGCAACTCCAATGATGGAACACAAAAAAAACTTTATTTAGCGCTCAAAATGGCGACATACAAACAAGAAGAGAAAACATATTCTAACATTTAAAAATAAATTACATTCTTCGCGCTCGAGTCTGGTTTCAAATATTGCCATTCACAAATACCTTAATGTTCATCTATTTAAATTATTTAAACTACAAGATTTTAATACTATTTAAAGCTGTTACAATATTTTAGGTGCTACTTTGGTAGACAATAATATTTAAAACATGGAATTTATGCATAATAAAAGGCATTATTTTTTAAATAAAATGATAACAAAGTATCGGTTACAATAAATAACTTGTCCAGCAATGTCCAGGTTTAGTATAAATCGTATTGCTCGCAAAAAAAAAAAAAAAAAAAAAAAAAAATCGCCAAAATCCGTGCAACTGTCTACCAAAGTAGCACCAAATACTAAAACTATTACAGACATGGGCTCTACGGGTCTGATTTCATCGATTCTACAACTAATGCATATACATCAGGGAGTAGGCAAATACTTTTAACTGTGGGCCAAAAAAGACTCTTTCCTACAGCTTGCCAGGATATGATGTATGTGTTGGGGGGGGGAGAAATGCTTCTTCCTGGTAGAATGCTTTAAAAAAATTAAATAATGTTCTATACGCTTCATATTTTTCACTTCAATAAGTCCCAAACAGTGAACATGGGATCACTATGTACCTGCATGTGGATTAACCATTGAAAAATGAAGTATATATAGTTAAAGAGATATACACAGTAATGATAGATACGAACTCGTGCTGCTGATTTCAGTAATTTGCATATAAAACCAAGTAGGAAAGAGATGAAAATGTCATCGCACAGGATTTTACAATGAGCCAGACTAAGCAAAGAGCCACATTTTGCCTGCAGGCTGGATTTTGTCCATCATTCACATAGATAATCACAAAAGTGTGGAACATTTAACTAATTCTGAGGGTACAACTAGCACACACACAATCTACCTGAACGATGAGGCAGCCTCTGAAGGCCAGGTTGTTGAAAAACTAAATAGACAGCATTTGGTTAATCACTTACTTGAATTTTTGTTTAAAAGATAAATAAAATATAACAGTTACTCATACAGTGAAATTACAAATGCTGTTAAAAGCACTTTTCTTATTACACAGTCTCATTTCTGACAACTTTAATTACACACCTTGCTTAATTGTCATAGGATCAAAGAAAATTGGAAAAAAAACATCTTGTCAAAATAACATGTTTTGAACATGTCAGACAATCACATTTTTTTTAACAGTGATATTGAAAATTCATCTCAATTTTCTCTATAATGCATCAAATTCAGTTTAAAACTTCATGAAAAAAATATGGAGAAAGTGCAGAATCGCTCACTGCTTTGCACGTTTTTAAGAATTGCACATACTCTGTATCCATGTACACATCGACCTATTTTCACTTTAAAAAAAAATGGCAGAATTGCACAAAAATGGCATTGCGCACTCCCTCGAATTTATCCATGTACACATTGACCTATTTTCACTTAAAAAGTCAAAGAAAATTGACAAAAATCCAATTCTTCTTACTCTTCTAAAAAGCACCAAACAAACACCAATCAAATACACTTTAGCCAAAAATATGGTATTATCTGCTCAACTGCAGTAAGAATTATCAGGAAAAGTGGTATGTTGTCATAGTACGCAACCCAGAATTTCATGGAAATGTATTTTATATGGCAATCCACTAAATTTGCATGATTTTAGAATGTCCTTGTGATCAATATGTGTGTTCGTGTTTTCTTATAATGAATCCAAATGTAACTGTGGAGTTCGCTAACAAAAAAGAAAGTCCTGCATTTTTTCAGAAATATGGCATATTGCCTAATAATAGCAATGAGTACAAATGTGCATCCCATGAAGTTGTATTTTACAAAAGATCTTAAGAAATTTATTTAGAGAAAACATCTGGAAGGAGAGCAAAAAGTGTTTTGAAAAAGCAGAAAGCTGAACATTATCCACTGGACTGATTTTCTTTATTGTTAAAGTAATAAAATGGGTTGATCTTTACATTATGGTAACTTGGCGTTTTTTTGGCGAAAATTTGGCGACCAACTCTCCTACAGCAACCCTCTTATTTTTTTTTTCCCGCCGCCATTTTGTCTTCATGAAGTAAAGACATGTTTCTTTTCTTTTTATCTACTGAACACTTCTTCCAACAATCTACTAGCCGAATTACACTTATGCTAGAAATTTTATCTAACAAAACTGCTTAATCATGACAAATATTCACTGCAAAATTGGGAAAAAGTGCACAATACCATACTCCTTACACGTTTTTCAAAATAACACATACACATAAACCATGTACACGCCGACTTATTTTTACTTAAAAAAACATTCCAGAATTGCACAAAAATGGCATTGCTCACACTCTTCACTATATCCATGTACACTGCTTTTTTCTCATAAATTAGAAGAAAAATTTCACGAAAATACATGACAATTTTCTCAATCTTTAAACCCGGTAAAAAAGAACATATATGAAATTACCTGATCGCGAAAAAGTATTTACCCTTTCCAAATATGAACATTTCCACATATAAAATAAATAAAATATCCAAAAACCTCTAAATCATCTATTACATTATACACGTCACCAACAAATTCATACCGCAAGCATTACAAATACTTAGTATCAAAATTTAAATTATTCCATGCACGTTTACTTCAACTTAAACGTGTACCAAATTCCTACAAACATAAAATTCACAAAATAACTATCATTTAATTAAAATATCACTAAACCATGTACACGTCGACTTATTTTTACTTAAAAAAACATCCCAGAATTGCACAAAAATAGCATTGCGCACACTCTTCACTATATCCATGTACACTGCTTTTTTCTCATAAATTAGAAAAATTTCACGAAAATACATGACAATTTTCTCAATCTTTAAACCCGGTAAAAAGAACATATATGAAATTACCTGATCGCGAGAAAGTATTTACCCTTTCCAAATATGAACATTTCGACATATAAAATAAATAAAATATCCAAAAAACTTTTACCTCTAAATCATCTATTACATTATACACATCACCAACGAATTCATACTGCAACCATTACAAATACTTAGTGTCAGATATTTAAATTATTTTCCATGCACGTTTACTTCAACTAAAACGTATACCAAATTCCTACAAACATAAAATTCACAAAATAACTATCATTTAATTAAAATATAATTAAATTCAAAAAAACACTACTTAAAATATAAATGAGCACATACATTAAATTAATACATACATAAATACCCATTTCGAATTCACTTTAGTTACGGCCATGGGATCCAAAAATTCACGAACACTGTTTCACACAACACAGAATAAAGCCAAATACAAAACTTCCAGATTTTTTCCCGATTTCCCCCCTTTTTCCGATTAAAGAACCGTAATTCGTCCATTAATATCACATGACATATCCCATGATCTCTCATTTCCCTCACACAAAATAATGCGTAATCGGAACTGAGTACTGCTCACATTATTACCAAAGTCCCAGGTAGTAACCTTTATCGCCTCCAAAATGTCGCCAAACTACCAGTTACCATATTGTAAAGATCAACCATAAAATGCATTCCACTAGCTTTCATTTATCTCTGATGTTGCATTGTTATACAAACGTTGTAGCTTGAAAGTAGTTTTATGAAATTTTCTTAGGTGTTTAAGAAAATAGTTTTCTCCAAATAAGTGTAATCTCATGATGTATTTTTTTAGTTAAAAGTCAATGTGTACGTGAAGGACAATTCCAGTTTGATCTGCTGTTCCTCAATGTTTTTTAAGTTAAAACATATTGCTATGCACATGAGAAGACCGAGAAAATAGAAAGTGTTTTATTATGGGGGTTTGCTGTGTTTTTAAATATGTTAATTGTTTTCCCAAAACATTTTGAGTGTTTTGCTATGGATGTTTGCTGTAATGTACTTTTTACTGCTCAACAAAGACTGGTAAACCTGGTGAATTTGTTGCACATAATCAAAACATTTAGTACTTATAATGGCATTAATAGGCACATTCTAATAAACCATTTATAAAAATTACAGTACTTCAAAATAAAAATCCCTCTGTCACAAGATCACTATGTTCAGGGAAGTGTGCTGTTAACCAAAAAAAAAAAAAACATGGAATCACTGTAAGAAGTAACACATCTAACATACTTAAATTATTTCCATGGGCTCTCATACAATAGTCCTCCAGTCCAATCTCATATACAACTCAATACAGATATCGGTTTAAAAATGCTACACACAACCTGATTTTAATCATATCTTGAAAATTCAAACTACATAATCATCTGTACACATTCAACATATTACGGTCGGAATAAGATAGATAATACCCGATTTTAAATTTTATAGTAGTAATAAGACTACAAAAGATAAAATAATTTTTTCTAAATGAAATATTTCACATACAATTTTTTAAAAAAATGCATGAATGGATAGCGAAACATTTGTTACTAAACATACATACATCTCACATATAAAAGCAAACCCGTCACCTGTTTTGCCCCTGAAGTAAAATCTTTTAATGTGAATTCATTATCTAAATACGGTCGTATGATGAATTTTGCTAAAATCCAATTTTTTATTGTAAGTAGCACTTCTGGTCGGAGAACAGGTTCAAATTTCATTAGCATTTTTGGTTTCTTTTTATCATCTTCATCATTAAAGTCCGTACTCATCTTTCGTTCACTCAGTAAAATATTAAGTTTTACCGCTGTTTTGGATAAATAACCGCTTAAGGATTGGAAGGCAGCAATATTTTTCATAACAGTAAAATTTCTATTTGTACTGATATATGTTATCACAGAGGATTTATTATTTTTTTGACACTGAGAAAAGGCACCTAAAATTTTAAAAACGAAGCGATTCATTTTGAAATTTTAATAATTTTCAAAAATATTTCCTACGGAAGAAAAATGCAATCAATGCAACATTTTCTCTACTCTGATAATACTCTAAAAAATATCTTAAGAATTCATATTGAAAACAGAAGCTTAATGTGGAAGTAGTAGTAGTTTTCAGAAAACTTTTAGAGCATTCCACCAAGGAGGTTAGAACCTCCTTGCATTCCACAGACGCACAAATAATTAAAGGCTTTTCTTATCAAAATGTATCATTACTCTTTTATGGAATGAAAATATAATATATCTAGATCATTTTAACTCTGAAACATGTATATTAAATCCATTCTATATTTCCGGTACTGGTTTTTCTACACAAGTGTCGAGTATAATATTTTACATTATTCACCTTTTTCATTTAAGCATTATTTCACCTGAGATATGTTTTAATAGTTATAAGCCTGCATATTATTTTAATTTGAAATATGTGGTTATTCTCAGTCGACCTCACAAAGTGTTCTGACTGCTAATATCAGCAGAATGCCACAGAATGTGGAACACGTTGTTTATGTTTCATATTATGCTTTACATGCTACCACCTTTGATTCTTTAAAGGTATTAGAATGCAATATTTGCCAGGACTGATTACAAAATATTCATTCAGTATATTTAGCAGATGATAGTTTTGGTTTTCTTAAAGAATCAGATAAGGGGGATCTAATTTTACCATCTGAAGATGCGTTATTAATATCTTCAGTTGTACATTTTTTATTTGGCGAAATTCTTAAAAACATGGAAGATACTGTTACGGTTTTTGTATTGATTTATTTGCTATTTTTAATAGAATTGTTATTAAATTGTTTCATTTACTCGTACAATGCTGCACTCGACTAATTTGAAGAGAAAGTTACTCCGGGAAAATTAAAAATACAGGAGCACGCGCATTTAATAAATAGATATCTCGTAATTGCACGCTTTTGCTTTTCGGGAAAAATCGAGAACATACCAGAATATACTCGTGTGATTTAAAAAGCTTTTAAAAGGAGGAAGACCACTCAATTCAGTAGTTGATATCGTTCCACTCTTTTCTCCTAGAAAGCGAAAAGCAGCTACGTGTAATCCTTAAGGGAATCCTAGCCTCAGTGAAGGAAGAAATAATACTCAGCGAACTTGCCAGACGTAAGTTTCCAATAATAAAAGTCAACCAATTTACTCGTAGACGTCAAGAAACTGTTGAGAAACTACCAATTTACATATTAGAATTTTAAAAAAATGCAGAAGGTCATGCTATCCATCAGGTAAACAGAATGATGATGTCGTGTCTATGACAAAGTGCAATTATATAGCTTCGAAGCTATCAAAGACAGCTTTTGCAACCTCGGCAGCTCTATCAGTATAAAGTAGGTCCACTGGGTCTTCAATGCCGATGTCAAACAGTCTGGCCTGGTAAACAGAATGTTCAGCTTTAATGTTAACATCGAGAAGTTCTCGCTTAAAAAACGCCCAATACAGTGCTTCCGATGTCAGGAATTCGGGCACTCACAAGTCTGCTGCAATAAACCGCTAAGATGCTGTAAGTGCGGCGAACAGCACCGAACCAACCAGTGTACCCTCAAAAACGAAGAAAAACCAAAGTTTATTTTTTGGGGATCAGACCTTGTCAGCAGATACTGTGGGTGTAGCGCCTACAAAAAAAGATTTCAGCAAAAGAGACAGCCCGCAGAGCAGAAAAAATAGACTTCCATGCAGAAAGTTCCTGAACTCAATACTGAACATTTTCCTGGCATTTCAACCAAAGAGATGAGTGCAGTTCAAGATTTCCTTTCAGGAATTTCCTACAGTGATAAAATCAGATGAAAAATTAAACTACCACCTGAAGATTTTAATGAAGCCCTCACTTGGATGCAAGATGAAAAAAATCACGAACTTTTAAAAAATTGTGCAAGAAAGCAAAGTTAGCTTCCGATAAACTCAGGATTTGGTTTCGAAGCAGCGATGACAATAATCAGATTTGCTGAAGAAGATTAATCTCTGCAGATACCACCACTAGATGGCGACTCCATCACTGATCAGCTAACCCTAATCTCGACTTTCCGGCAAGCTTCCATTCACGCAGAGAGATGGCGCCACAGAAGATGATCTTGGAACCCGAACTTTTCCCGTCACCAGCACCACTCCAGTACGTTACCTGCTCTTTCTCACTCTTCTCTTTCATCCTACCACCCTTATTCTTCTCAGATTTGCCATTGTCAATGATTCTTCATCCTCTTTTTTACTCTTTACTCCTCTTTTCTTTGTGATTTCTCCCAACACTCACCGTATCTGAACGAGGATCTCATGATGTACCATGAACTCCCCAGCCATGTAGGCTTTCCTCCTCGCTTCCCTCCCCTCTTTTCTGGTTTCCCTCAGCCCTGCTCATCTTCACTCTTCTGATACGGAGGTAGATGGTTTGATTACCATAGAAACTCCGAAATTTTTCCTCATTGGCATTGGCATTCAGTAGTTGTATTATGAGTTTTTTTAGAAAACTGTTGTTGCTTATTGTAGCGAATTCGGGGTGAAATCGGATTAGCTTTCTCTATTTTGAATTAGTTCTGTTGAAAGTTTTTAGTAGTTTAAAACAGTGCTTCGCAACCTTTTCTCACCTGCGACGCACAAAAAATCTTTCTGGAATTTCGTGGCACACCAAAGAGTTCCGAGTTATCAAGGAAGTGCCGAAAAAATTCAAATGCAATTGACACACACTACAACGTACAATTACACACACAACCACACAACAGTGAAATATATAAAAACATTTAAAATAGACATTATTAAGGAAAAAAAAATGTCATTGTGTATTAAATACATGATAAAAAATTGCAAAATGTCAAATACATGTATTTGATTGCGGAACACCTATATCCTACTCATGGCACACCGTTTGCGGAGCACTGGTTTAAAAGATAACTACTGTGAGATATTGGGATATTGTGCGAATATCTGAGGAAATTTAAGAATTTTGTTTTATTTGTTGTGATAATAATAAATTTTATTCATTTTTCATCAGACTTGTGCATTCAATTCATAACGAACTCGTACGCACGTAAGAATACATTTCTTATGTTAGGAAAGCAATTGGATATTTTATATATGTTACCTTGCATACTGTTAGGCCGAATTAACTTTGATTTCACAGATTCTTGCACTTGTGGATTGACTTATCTGTTTGATAACTTGTAAAAAAATTTAAAATAGTTATACAAAATATAAAAATGACAAAATTAATATAAAATATTCATATGAAAAAGTTACAAAAATTGCCAATTAATTTCAGTTAATAAGTCACAACTGTTTATTTTTATTTATGTTTTGTTTCTTCATAGATTATGTATAACATGTAGCTTGTGTGTACAGCTCCAAGTTTTATGAATCTATTTTCTTGCAATTTGAGGAAATCACTTTTAAAAAAATGAGAATAATCACTTACCTCCTTGATGGTTCGGGAAAAGTAATACAATATAAAACTGGAGCTGGCATAAATAGAGAGCTGTCCTTTTTATGAATGTAATTAGCATTTACTTCTTTAAAATTTTCTTGAAAGAGTTATTTATAGCATAAAATGCGTGTAAGTTTATCTTTATACTCAAAGTTCCGAGCATTTAAAGAATTTTTAATTCATTTTCCTGTTTTGACAAAATTGAGATAACCAATTTTTTATTCGTGAATTTAGTAAAGAGAGATGTCTATGGATATTTGAATTTACATAGCTGATGCAGTGGTAGTGCCATGGATTTTTACAAAATATTCTACTCTTAATATTTATTTTACTATTAATGAAATATAAATAAAATTTACATCCACAAATGTAATTAATTTTCCCCCTTATGTGGATTTTATATTATTTTGAATTAAGTTTGATTCAGATTATATAAATGGTTTCTATTTTTATTAAAATTACAGAAATAAAGTTTCCATGTGGTGAATCTCAATGATATTTTTAATTACATAAACAAAGTACAATTATTTTTACATTATTGAAGATACACATTTTTACAGCCTGTGAAAAAACTGCACTATGAAAAATTTAATGTAAAGCATGCGACCAACTCACATTTATTAATTTTACTTATGTTTATTTTAAGAGAAAACCATTATTTTCGGCAAAGTTAAACTTCACGATTATAGTGAAGAGAAATAGATCGACTATTTCTATCATGTGACCTTCGGAAACTGATTTCGCTTTAAGACCATGATAGAGTCGGAGCTGTGGGTAGAAGTATATTATTTAATTTCATACTTCATGCGCTTCGTTCCCAAAACAAATCTCCTACCCCATTTTGCTTTAGATATACATTTTCGACTTCCATTAGATTGCACCTGATTACTCAACTGTCTACACCAGGGATTCTCAACCGGTGGTACGCGTACCACTGGTGGCCCGCAAGAGAAAAATAGGTGGTATGCAAAGAAACAAAATATTTTCAACTATTAAATTAAAAAATCTTGTGAAGAAAAAGAACAGTTGATAGAAATTTCCTGTTATCGAACTCTAACTGAAGATTTCAAAAATAACACACTTTTTAACTTTTGGCTCAAAATAAAGCTATTAAATTTTTATTGTCTTCTTGCACAACCTATTTGTGTGAAAAAGGATTTTCTTCCATGTTACATTTGGAAAATAAATACAGAACGAAATTAAAAGTGGATCATAATTTATGGTTAAAACTATTTGAAATACAACCAGACATAAAGACATTGATTTCTTTTAACAGGCCAAAATTTCACACTAAATTTTAGAATTAAAGTATTATAAATCAAATTTTGATAATTAAAATGGTAACCAATTTTTAATGTAATATTCTTTATGGTGCATGTTTAATACAAATATTCAATAGGTTGTGAAAATGGCAAAATATATTTTTTAAAAATATTTCTATTGAGGAGTTGAGAAATAATCATTCTAAAACATGCAGTGGTGGTATTAAAGTTTTTCAATTTTTGTTTAGACGGTACGCGTTAGTGAAAAGGTTGAGAACCGCTGGTCTACACTCTTTATATACTTACAATAAGCGCATTATGCGCACATAGTTTATACTGTGAGTCCTAAGTAGAGTCGATTAAGCCGTTTCAATCCTTTGGAAGTACAATTATCCGGTTTGTTGTTT